GTCGCAGGAGTAAACTGGTAAACCCCCGCATCTTGCAGGTCAGCACCACTCACCAAGTTTGTAGAGGACGAGGGGAGGTAAAGACCAGACAAGGTGCCAGAGGGGGCAGCCGGACACGGGAGGACAGTGGAGAAGTGAGAGAGGATAGGACCCCCAGAGGGGTCTGCCAGGGAGACTGCTACCGGCTGACCAAGCGGGGTGAGTGTGGTGCGGTCTCGAAAGAAGGAGCGAGAAGCCCCTGAGTCAAGTGTGAAGGTGAGGGAGGCCGAAGCTGACGTGGTACCTGAGAGCGCAGCCTCACCAGCTCCTGAGGATGCAGACGCACTGGCACCTAGAGCAGCAGCCTCACCTGTACCTAGAGCAGCAGTCTTAATGCCCGGGTCGGGCGGGAAACACCGGTAACAGTCACCCTCATCACTAATAGTCACAGCATACATGGCAGCAAGGATAGCATCAAAGTCAAAATCATAGATAGCTACACCTGCCCTAGACAGCTCTCCCCAGCGGGGGATCTCACTAGCCTTGGGGAACTGGTGACGCCAAGCTTCCGTCAGGCGGCCAAAGCAGCGCTGGGTGGGGTGGGCACCCCCACACTGCTCACCCGCGCGGTCGCCGGTGCGAAGGACGTAGGTGCACGGACCAAAACCCCCACCACGCTGACGCTGCGTGTACCACTCACGGAGCTGCTAAGGGGGGGGGGGGATTTCCCGAGAACGGTGCTGCTGCTGCTGCTGCTGGCGCTGACCACCACCGGAGCTGCTCCGCTGCAAAGCGCTACCCCGACCAGCTCCACCCCCTCCACCACCGCCTCCTCCACCTCCGCCACCACCGCCGCCTCCGCTCCCATTGCTACCGCCTCCGCCGCCTCCGCCTTCACTGCTGCCACCGACACCTCCACCCCCGCCACCACTCCCACCCCCACCCCCACTCCCTCCGCCGCCACCACCGCCACCTCCACCACCCCCGCTAGCTCCACCCGCGCCCTTGCTCCCTTTGCCCTTGCCAGAGCGGCGTCTATCGCTAGGGGCAGACGCCGCACCGACCAACTCAAGAACAACGAGGTCGGCCGCAGCAGCAAAGGCGACAAAGGGCAAAAGGGGGGAAGGGGAACACCCCTCAAAGATGGGGGTGCGAGGGTCACCACGAGAGGCTCCTACAGCGACTATGCTCTTCTCCGCTGCTAGGAGGGCCTTCTCTAGGAGGTCAACTGTAAGAGTGGTAGGATAGACTGAGAGGAAGTGGTCCCTGACTACACAAAGGGAGTCAGGGAGGCGGTTGACTATGTAATAGAGAGTGATGTACATGGGGGGGGGGGGGGGGGGGGGGGGGTCTTGGCGCAGAACTCGGCAGGAAGCGCAGCGCAGCAAGTGTCACTAGTGTGGAGGTGCGTAATGAGGTCATCGACTGTGGGAAAGGCAGCAAGGTCAGGGAAGAGGTACGGTACCATGAGGCGGCTCAGCGCAGCAGTGTCAGGGGAAGAGTAGCGCGCAACTACAGCGTCGTACAAGGTCCGAGCACTCTTGTACTGACTAAAGTGCGCGCGCTCAGTGGTAGGCAGGTGGCGACGCAAAGCAAGACGTGCAGCAGCGTCGCGCGTGGCCCATTGAGAGCAAACAGTGGCGTTAGCATGAGCAGCAAGGGCAGGAGAGGCGCCAGAGGTAAGGTCAAAGAGAGAGAGACCGTCTGCCCTATCGCACTGTAAGAACAGCTGCAGGTCGTCGACCCAGACGTCAAAGTCAATGGCTCGACCCTCAGCGTCAAAAGCGAGGACACTGGGGGTAGCCATGACAACAGTAGACCAGCAGTGCAAGCAGCAGGGAAAGGGCTGTGCAGCTACAAAGGTGCTGTGCTCACCGGACAGGGCTGCTCGGGCGGCTCAGCGGTAGGGCGGCTCGGCGGTTTGGCGGCTCGGCTGCTGGGCGGCTCGGCGGCGCGACTGCTGGGCGGCTCGGCTGCACGGCGGTTGGGCGGCTTGGCTGCAGAGCGACTCGGCGGCTCGGCGGCTCGGCTGCTCTACTGCTGGGCGGCTCGGTTGTGCTGCTGCAGGGCGGTGCGGCGGTCGGCGGCTCGGCTGGGTGAGACGGCTCGGGCGGCGCTGCAGCAGTTGAGGGCGGCGGGGCCGCAACTGAGGGCGGCGGGGCCGCAAGGGAAGGCGGCGGGGCTGCAGGTGAGGGCGGTGACGGGCCGCAACTGAAGGCGGCGACGGGGCTGCAGATGAGGGCGACGGGGCCGCAACTGAGGGCGGTGGGGCCGCATGTGAGGGCAGCGACGGGCCGCAGGTGAGGGCGGCGACGGGGCCGCAACTGAGGGCGGCGACGCGGCCGCAGGTGAGGGCGACGGGCCGCAACTGAGTGCGGCGGGGCCGCAAGTGAGGGCGGCGAGGCCGCAAGTGAGGGCGGCGACGGGCCGCAGCTGAGGGCGGCGACGGGGCCGCAGCTGAGGGCGGCGACGGGGCCGCAAGTGAGGGTGGCGGGGCCGGAACTGAGGGCGGCGGGGCCGCAAGTGAGGGCGGCGGGGCCGCAAGGGAGGGCGGCGACGGGCCGTAGGTGAGGGCGGCGACGGGGCCGCAACTGAGGGCGACGACGGGCCGCAAGTGAGGGCGGTGGGGCCGCAATTGAGGGCGGCGGGGCCGCAAGTGAGGGCGGCGGGGCCGCAAGGGAGGGCGGCGACGGGCCGCTTAGGGTGGCGACGGGCCGTGAAGGGCGGCGACGGGCCGAGTAAGGGCCGCGACGGGCCGTAAGGGCGGCGCAAGGTAGGCCATTAGGGGCGACGCGACTTGGCCGCTAGGGCGGCTCGACGAAGGCAGAGAGGGGAGCGCGACTCGGGAAGTGCGCTCTGGGTAGGAAAAAAAAAAATCGATGTGGTGGGCCCTAGGCACAGTTCCCACGAGGGAACCTGCTCGATGCCATGAGAAAGTTAGAACGAGAATGATCGACCAAGGAATGAAAGTGATACAAATATGCAACCCTAGAAATGTGTACCCCATATAGGCTACCCCACTATAGCCTACACAACATTATAATTTGATAGACATGGGTACTAGTAGAGTGGAGTTGAGTGGTTGGGTGGGCGAGCACCATGAAGAGGGTGATGGCAAGGAGGGAAAGGGAGCTAGGAGACTGAGAGAACTCTATACCCCAATGAATCAAGCTCAACATGTGTAAAGAAGATGAGGAAGGAAGGAAGAGGAAGAAGGGGGCGTTGAAGGAGGGCAAGACTAAGGTTATGAAGGAGGTTGGAAAAAGTACAGATGGGAAAATGAAAGTAGAGAAACCAGTGCATGTATAGGGCATGTATGGGTTGCAACAAAATGTTGAGTGCAATACATAGTTTGCACGACAACCTACCGCCTATGTGTCGACATTGAGTGAAAGTGAGGTGTTTCGTCTCAAGGTAATTTGTTATGTGTGAGTTTTGCATTTATGTGCTTCACGTTTCCGTGTTTACGGCTCATGAATCGGCTTAACGGTTCATGAGTTATGTGAGTTCCCGTGAAAGGTTGCGTTCCTGAGTGTTCGTGAAGGTCCGTGTGCGTTCGCGTTGCTTCGCGAGTTTTCATAAGCGTGTGTTAATTCTGTGTTCGTGAATTTCTGTGTTCGTGAGTGTGTTCGTGAAATTCCGTGAAGTCTGCGCGCTGTTCATGAATGTTTGTGAGTGTTCATGTTAGTTTTCGTTTTTCTGTTTTTTTGTGTGCTCATGAAGTATCGTGGGTGTTCACGAGGGGTCAATGTTGACCCTTAGAATTCTCGCGATGGTCAAGGTCAACAGCGCGAGGAAATCGGGACCGGCGCGTGGGGTCCTGATCGCGCGTGTGGGCCCTCAGGCCCGCGCGTGTGCCTTCGAGTGTTGCGAGCGTGGCATGGCCCACGATCGCAACAAGACAGGGCGAATGATCGCCCTGCCCACGCGAAGTACAGCGCACTGTACAGCACGACCGAAATATCGGTCGTGCATGATTGCAGCCTTGGGGGTGCTTGGGATTACGGTTGAAAAACCGTGTCCCGCGTTGACTCGACTTACAGGTAACTTCGCTGGAAAGATCGCGCGCGTAAAGGGACAATTTTGATACAGGAGAAAAACGGTGAAAGCCGTTTTTCAACTGTGACACTTCGTGAAAACGGTAATCTCACACGAGCGTTTATGATTGCGCACGAGAAGTCGCGAACGTTCACAAGGGGAGTCAGCAGGGGAATTTGGCAGACATGAAATTTGAAGATTGTTATTCTACAGGGGAGAACCAAGCCAAATTCCGAAGCAGTTCGACAACCGTTTTCCTTGGCGCATCTGGCGAAGTCTTGAAGTATAATTAAACAACTGCTTCGTGCTTTCTTATGCTTGTGTGCTAGGCAAAATATAAATCCGTGCTTGTGTTCAGTTGTAATCAATCCTTTTGAGTGAAGTTATTCTCTATCATCGTATTGACGTGAAGAGAACTTTCTGAACATGACCAGTTCGTCGTCATAACGCTGCGCAAAGAGTCCTGAGAATGCTCGATTGCACAACACACGGACCCTTGGTTAGGGGCTGGCCTTGCTAGGCACCCAAGGACCCTTGGAGGTGACCCCGTGGGGACTGTTAAGTGTGAATTAAAGGTGTGCATAGTTGCTTCCAGATCTCAATAGTAGTCAACAAGTGGTATCAGAGCTGTGGTTCGACGGATTGCCGTTAGAAGAGTATGGTGATGATCGACAATGAAGGTTCTTTGGCACAAGCTAATAGCGGAAGCCAAGATAATGGTGATTCAGCGCCAAGGAGAGTGTTGAGGGAGGAGATCAAGGCCTTGTACATTGTTCAGGGTAAATCATGCATTTACACTGAACCAAAAGTGTGGCTTCAATCATTACCCTGATAGATCAGGGAAAATGTGTTATATACATATATACACATTTATATTTGTGTAGTGTGACCAGCAAAACCAACCAAGCTGAAAATAAGTGTACCGGGGTAATTCACACTGATAGAAATAGCCCTTTGTCATCTTACGACCAGGAGATCATGAGTTAAGGTTCGCATTTCCCAGCCTTGATCTTGATTTGGTCCGGAATGCACACTCTAGTGGATTTGACGAGCTTATCGATGCAATCGTAGCCGTTGGTCTTCCTGTAGCACCCTTTGATTCCACGGAAGTACTTGACCTGCAGGCCAGTGCAGCGGTCGCCAGTCCCAACCACGTATGCACGAGTCTTGGGGCACACTCCTTGCATGAAGCTGAACGAGCTGCCTATGCACGCCTACGATTGTCATGCAGTTGGGTGTGCATGGGGAAGAGGGCGGAGGGAGGGGGTGAGAGGGGGTTAGAGAGCCAAGTGTGAACTGCAAGTGCGGACTGCAGGTGTGTTTTGCAGTGTGATCTACAGGTTTGAAGTGGAGACCGAAAGAGAAACACCAGCGACGCAAAACAAACACTAAATGTCATGGAACTGCATGGAACCGGCATGGCTGTGGGTGAAACTAGGTGGGAAACCTAGGAACTTTTAGCAGGATTTGGGAAAACGAGAGGCAAGAGGAGAGGGCACAGACGAGTGGGGGAAGGGCGAAGACGGGAGGAGAGGATAAAGCAGGGGAGAGGGTAGTGGGGAGAAAGAGGAGAGCAGAGGGAGACCTCGAAGCCTGTGAGGCTGCCGATGTCAGTCTTGGGCACGAGGCGGCTGCACTTGATGCCGGGGTTGAGGCGGAAAAACTCGAGAGGGGAGAGCGGCGGGGAGGGCACGGAGCGGATCTGGTCGCACGTCTCCCCAACCTGCACCAGATAGAACTGCGAGCACACCGGGATGAGCAGCGCCGCTGCACTCTCCGCCCGCCGCTCCACACACACCGCCTGGCTGCCCACCAGCTCCCCGCTGCCGGAGCAGTCCAGCCCCGGGTTGAGCGTCTGGAAGGCCTCTGCGCAGGGCTTGGTGGGAGTGGGGCAGCCGGCTGTGAGAGAGAAGTAGGTGGCTAGTGACTCGCATGTGTCGCCCTGGGGAAATAGGAACGAGGGGTGGGGAGGGGGGGAAGGGGAGGGAAGGATGAGAAGGGGAGGTGAAGAAATGATGAGAGGAGACAAGAGAGCAGGGGACAGGGGGAGGGTGAGAGGGGAACACGGGAAGGAGAAGCACGGATGTGAGGGTTGGGTTTACGCAGGGAGTCTGGTGGATAAGGAGACAGTGTAGGCTTTTGAGTCGACTCAAAAGCGGATTATGCAGGGAGTCTTCTGGATAAGGAGACAGTGTAGGAAAATTGGAAGGAGGGAGGTAGGGAGGGAGGGACGGAGGGCAGGAGGGAGGGAGGAGGGATGGATGGAGGAAAGCAGGCAGGCAGGGAGAGAGGAGGGGGGGCGACCTGGGACGTGGTGTAGTAGACGGAGCAGGGCGTGAGGTCGGCTGGCTGAACCACGTTCACCACCGTGCCGACAGCGAGAGGAGCACTGCAGCTCAGTCCCTGGAGGGGAAGCGGCGGGTGTGGTGCGTGTGGTGGGGTAAGTTCAGACGGCCACAAATCAAGAAGAATCTTCTAAAGAACGTGAAGAGGAAGCGGGAAAGCAGAGGCTTAGCAGGGATGCCGCACGGAAGCTGAAGAAGAAGCAGGAAAGCAAGGGCCCTCCATGCTCTGGTCGTAAAACTGTCCGCATGGGTTTCGGAGATTGGAACTGCTGCTAGCAGCACGTTCAAAGCAGCGAGCCAGTCTGAAAGGGCTTTGTCTACACGCAGCAGGAAAGAGAGACCACACTGGATTCTGAGTGAGTAACTGCCAGCTGTGGCTCACCGAGTTCTGAGTCTGCAGCTGGGCGAGAGTGAGCCCATACACGGGGTGGATGTCGGCACACGTGAGTCCCTCCAACACCACCGTGTACTTGCTGCTGGAGTCGCCTGTGCAGTGTGGTGCAGCGTGGTGTAGATGGGTGTGGGCCGGTGCGAATGGGTAATGAATTTGAGAGGACATGGAGGAGATTGTGGTGTGTGGGGGGTAATTATGATGAACAACAGGACTTTACAAAATTCTTTGTTGCGACATGGATTGTGAAAGGCTATGGTTTGTTGGTGGTGACATAGCATGAATAAGAGATGAGAAACACGTGTCGGGTTTAAGATGCCTCGGAAACAGTTTGGTGGTTGCATAGTAAGCATTGAAATGTGAAATTCCACACTTGGTGGTAGCATACTGTGAAAAAGAGAGGATGCCTTTAAACTTCAGTACAAGAGAGGCATCTGGAGTGCAAGAAACGAATGCTGCCTGCAGCAAAAGGGAAGGTTTCCTGCAGCACAGGTGAAGGTTACCTGGACCACAGGAGAAGGTGCCATCTACGGTGGTGCCCTGCCTGAAACCCGGAGGGCACACACACGAGTACGACCCCTTGCCATCATTCACACATGTGCCCACTGCACACGGATTGCGCACCGCCGCCCTGCATGCATCCTCTGGTGAACAAAACAAGAGGTAAGAGAGGGAGATAGCCAAGGCGATCATGCTTTGAGGAGACTGAGAGCTTGTGGCTGAGACTTATCAATTCAAACGCATGGTCTGGTGTGCACCTCTCAACACATGAGATTGAGAAGAAAGTGTAAGGTACAAGCTTGCTTGGACAGATAAAAACTACGTTTATCCTGACCAAGGCACTAATTGGTAGCAACAGGTGGCAGGAATAAAGGGTCACATGCATGTCAGACAAGACTCACGTGCAATACATACACGAGAGGAGCAGCACATCAAGATAGAGCAGCAGCACCCGAGACATGTGAGTAGAACAGCACACGACTCACACAACACCCAAAATGAGAGAGCAATCACTAGTGAAGGGATACACATGGATGATGGAAGGATGACCTGGGATAGGCATGGGCAAAAGGCGAGGCGAGTAATACTTGCCTCGATTTTTGCTGCCTTTTTTGAGTAATGGGGCGAGGCGAGTATTACTCGCTACGAGAAATTTTGCCCTCGCAAAAATCGCATCTTGTGCAAGAAGACGGGTTTTTTAACTTGTTACAAGTAAAAAATGTCGCAGCAACGCACGTAATCCGCAAAAACTCGCCTCGCCAGGAGCATCTCCGAGGTAACTCAAGTTCGCAAAAGAAAATATTCAACCACGCCTTCCCTCATGTCGACTTGGGAAAGGGAGGACTAAGGAGAGAAAAAAAAAAATCCGTGATCTTGGAACGGTAGATTGCTAGAGCGATCAGAAAATATGTCGCAACAGGGTGGGTAAGGAGAGATCCGGATCTTCTTCACAGCGGTAAGGTGGAGTGATTAGGTTCGGTAGAGAGAGGATTTAATTCAGTTAGAAGGATTAGATGTAGAAAACTTGAGACCAAGTACCCTCTATGCACAGCAATTAACTAGCACAGATAAAAATCACATGTTCACTTCCACAGGTCATCGGGTCCCTGATAAAACCAATCCTTAACCAAGGGTCCGTGCTTGTAGAGATAACTATCCATTGGGTAATCAATTAAGGGCACTAGAGTACTTTCACAATTGAATGCGAAGCGTTACGACCAACATTGTCGGACGATCATCGTCCGACCGATAGCGTTACAACAAGAAATATCATGGCCAATGAGCATTGTCTCTCTCTCATAATTTCCTTGTCGACGCTACGCCTGACTGCAGCAGATGGCGAAGCGTGGGAAGATCGCCCTGCGGTACATCCTGACCGATGAGCAGCCGACCGATTGCATGACGAAGGTGCTGCACTTTCCGGCCTTCAACTGGTGCTCCGTCGCCTCGGCCAAGTGCGTCTGGCCAACGTCAGCGACGGTGACTGTGAGAGTACGACGACGTATGCCAGCTATGCTTGCTTGCCTTGACTTTATCATGCTATTTCTAGCATAGGATAATCATATGCATGCATGAATTGCTTGATTTTTTAGGCTAGGTGCTTTCCTATATTTTGTTATAATTATAGCACAGAGCTGGGTTGCGTGCACCGAATTCTGGCTTTTCGGTTGCCACCGAATTGCTTTCTACCGAATTCGGGAAGGATCTGTTCGGGACGCTTCGCGACCCGCGGAACCTTCGCGTAACACCTGGTTACTGGGCCTTGTGTCGAACCTATATATAGCCTCGTGTTGTACCCAGGTGATCATTCAATTACGATTTTCTTTTCTGAGCTCGATCCTAGATTCTCACATTTGGTAACCAGAGCCTGTTTGCAAGCGAAGTTTTTCGACCGCTTAATCCTAGCTTTTAAAACCGCAGGGGCGACGACGGAAAGCGCCGATTTTGGGTACGTAAACCAGTTCCGCACTATTTTCGTTTGTTGGAATTTCGACCGTCGGATCATTTCGAATCTCAACGGCCTCGAGAATTTCGCCCAAAAACGTTGTAATTTGGAGCGTCGGATCGAATTTCTTCTCAACTGCCGAGATCAGACGCAAATTTCGATTAAGGGAGAACTACGCGACCTACAGAATCAGCGCTTGTCATTTCTGCGGTCAACTCGACTCACAGTAAGATGACCAGCGTCTGAAATTCATTTATTTTCGTCGCAAATCTTCCTATAAATCGCCAAATGGAGGAAAACGGTGATAATTCCGTACGGAAAATTACGGAGTTACACACCGGCCTGGACCAGACGCAAGCGGCACTCCAGCGAATAGAGGAGCTTCTCGCAAACCAGTCGGCAGCCGCCATAGCAGCAGCGAACGCAGCGGCGAATGCAGCAGCGACGTCAACAGCAGCAGCGGCGACACTGACACTTCACCCAGCAGCAGCGGCAGCGGCTACAGTGAATCTTGAGGCGGCACGTCCGAGGCTACCGTAGATGTTCAATGCGAATGCGAGAGACACTGACGTTCGTCGATTCATTGCGACTCTCGAAATTTACTTCGAGGCCGTTGGCTATACGACCCCAACACACGATGCAATGCGGATTCGGCTCGCAGCGACACTGTTACGAGGCCCAGCGCTCGAGTGGATTTACAACAGCAATAAGATCTGAGGCGAGGGGTCATGGACGCAGTTTCGGGAAGCTTTAATTCAACGTTTCGAACCAATCAACTCCAGCTACATGGCGCGGCAGCAGATTCATCGGCATAAACAGTTCGGCAGTGTAACACAATACACGCAGCAGATGGAGAGCCTCTTCAACCAAATTACCGACCTGATCGAAGGGGACAAAGTCCAAGCGTATACTGAGGGGTTAAGGATGGAAGTCTGCCAACAGGTGATTGCCGCGAACTACAACAGCTACTGCGACATGATGTGTGCAACAGAGCGATTCGATGCGCTGATGCTATGTGAACCTGAGACACTACGCCACGTGCCGAACTGATCATTTGGCACGAAGCAATCGGCACCACCCACGACCGCCGACCCGATGGATATCGACAAGATCGACGCGAAGCAGCGGCCAACAAAATATGAGAAGTGCGAATTTTGCGGCGCAGCAGGACATCAATTCTTGGCGTGTTGGAAAATGAAGAAGCCACGAGCGGAGCTGCAGGGCAACAACAGTGCGACATCCATGATGGCGAAGAAAGGAGAACACGATGGCGCGAATTTAAAACGTCACGACTGGCCGGCAACAGGGGAAATCGCCGAGACAAATGGAGGCTCCGCGAAACAAGACTCTGCACCGACCGGGAAACTCCAACCGAACACCCCCGAGAGTAAGAATATTCCTTCTCGAGGTTTTCAAGCCTTTAAGAATTTCAGGGGAGATTTTGAGGCCATGAAAAAGCCTTCAGACATTATTCAGGTACCTGAGAAGTTGGGCAAACCACTCCGGAGCTTTGAAAAGGGTCGTGCGTTCCAAAGAGTTCATATTCTCTCCCCGCTGCATAATCTTAAGGCTCCCCATTGCCCACAGGAGAAGCCTACACAGCTGCAAAGGCTTAAGGGAAGGTTCCACGCCAAGACGAAGCTGAATCGGCCTCGGATAAATCCTTCTAACCCTGCTCAGTTGGAAACTGAAATGGAGTCAGCAGCTTCGAGCGCAGGACCGAGGGATGATCTATTTGACGTACCCTACGATCTTATAAGCGAGACCATCTACGGTTACTAGGAGCAGCAAAAACCACTACTACTCGAGGTGATCTGCAATGGGCGACGCCTCCAGGCAATGGTGGACAATGGTGCGTCCCACATGGTGTGCGACCACGGGACGTTGGAGAAAATTGGAGAGTTTTCGGAGGAGACCAAGTTCTCGGCAACAATGGTGGACGGTAGGGATGAGCAAAGGGCGAACACGAACATGTTCGTCTTCGCCCCTTGTCGAACACCCTCTTTTGCCGAACCGAACAGTGTTCGGTTCGGCGAACAGTTTAGGAAAAAACAGGTGTTCGCTGTTCGCCTGTGGAGGCGTGTTCGGGCGAACCTCGAACACTGTTCGTGTTCCTCGCGGGCAAATTTCAGCAGCGGCCCGAACACGAACGTGTTCGGGCGAACATCGAACACTGTTCGGCGAACGATTTGAGCTAAAAAACAAAACCTGTTCGGTTCGCCTCGAACAAAAACAGGTGTTCGCCACCTTGCTCATCCCTAGTGGACGGTACGAAACTTCTCATCCACGGCGAAGCACCACTGCAGCTACACATACGGGCGCTGAGGTGGAAGCCGACATTGCCGATCACAAACATCAAGGGTTTACATTTCATCTAGGGGCGAGATTTCTTGAAGCGGTTCAACCTCGAGATCGACTGGGTGAGCAGGAAGGTGTGCATCTACAACAACGGGAAACGAGTGAAGCTGTGAAGCTAGACCGATACAGGGAACATTCCTGAAACGACACTGGCACGGCTCGAACAGACGGTGAACGAGAGTAACAGGAGTTACTTAGCACTAGTTATGGCAGCAGCAGAGAAGGAGAAGCCGAGTTCGGAGCTACCTGTAGCAGTGAAGGAGGTCTTGGAGCAGTACAAAGATATCCTGCCAGACGACCTACCCGCAGGAATACCTCCAGCACGCACCTACGAGCACGAGATCGTGGAGGAACCAGGTGCGAAACCCGTCTCACGTGCACTATACCAACTGAGTCCGACCGAACTGATAGACATGATGAAACAGATAGAATATCTACTAGATCGACAACTGATCCGCCCATCCACCTCTCCCTACGGTGCACCAGTCCTCTTCACTCCAAAACCAGACGGCAGTCTACGGATGTGCATCGACTATCACGCACTAAACAAACAGACAGTAAAAAACAAATATCTCATACCGCGCATAGACGACCTACTCGATCAACTGCGAGGAGCAACAGTCGTTTCAAAGTTGGACCTACGGTCGGATTACTGGCAGATCAAGATGGCGGACAAATCGATCCACAAGACGGCGTTCCGTACTAGATACGGCTCCTACGAATACTTGGTGATGCCGTTCGGACTCTGCAACGCACCAGCGACGTTCCGACGAAAATGAACCACATCCTGCAGCCCCTGCTGGACGAGTGTGTAGTAGTGTACCTGGACGATATCTTCATCTACTCCAAGAACATGAAGCAGCATGTGGAGCATCTGCGGAAGGTGTTCGAAATACTACGGAAAAACAAGTTTTACGTGAAGCTGTCGAAGAGCGACTTCGCCCTGAAGGTGCAGTTTCTTGGGCACTTGGTGAGTGCCGAGGGAGTACACGTGGACCCGCAAAAGATTGAAGCGGTCAAGAAGTGGAAAGTACCGGAGAACGTGAAAGAGTTGCAGCAGTTCCTAGGCTTCGCCAACTACTACAACAAGTTCGTGGCGCAGTACGCTAAGATAGCAGCGCCACTGACCGACCTACTGAAAAAAGATACGCCCTACAAATGGGATACCCCTCACCAGCAAGCCATGGAGCAGCTACAGACAGCACTGACTGCAGCGCCAATACTCATCTTGCCGGATCCAGACAAGGACTACGTGGTGGAAGCAGACGCTAGTGACCAAGCAGTCGGAGCAGTACTAATGCAGGATCACAGACGCGGTTTGCAGCCCACCGCCTACCTCAGTAAGAAGCTACACGGAGCAGAACTAAACTACCCCATTCACGACAAGGAAGCTTTAACGATAGTCATAGCCATCAAGGTGTGGAGGTGTTACCTATTGGGAGCCAAGACTACGATCTATACTGACCACTGCAGTCTCAAACACCTAAAGTCGCAGCCGACGCTCTCACGACGACAGGTGCGGTGGTTGGACTTCCTGGAAACTCACTTCCACTACGACATCGTCTACAAGCCCGGGCTACACAACAAGACAGACGTGTTAAGCCGCCCCAGACATGTAGCAGGCATCCAGCTCGACGGGATGCTCAAGGGTCTATTCCAACATGGGTACTCCATGGACGCAGAGATCACTACACCACAAAACCAGAAGCTGTTACAGTGGGAGCAAGACCAAACGGTAAGAAAGGGTTCATGAAAGATTTGGGTACCGGATTACGCCCTGCTACGGCAGATCCTATTGGAGGAGTTTCACGACGCACCATAAGCGGGACATTTCGGGAGCAACAAGACGTTAGCGGGAATAGCGAAGTATTACTACTGGCCCCGGATGGCAGGAGACGTGCAGCAGTTCGTTACCTCTTGCGACACGTGCCAGCGGATGACGAGCAGCAAGCAGAAAAAAGCAGGGTTACTTCAGCCTCTACCCGTACTGGAGCACCCTTGGCAGATCGTTAGCCTCGACTATATCACAGGATTTCTTTCGACCTCACGAGGGCACGATTCCATCCTCGTAGTCATCGATAAGTTCTCCAAAATGGGTCACTTCATAACAACCAACGCCACAGCTACAGCTGAAGCAACTGCTCGCCTCTTCTTTGACCGCATCATCACCATCCACGGCATCCCCGCTACAGTCATCTCAGACAGAGACCAAAAATTCACCAATAAGTTTTGGAAAGAGCTCATGAGATTATTGGGGACAAAACTTGCAAAATCTTGAGCATACCACTCCAGACTGACGGACAGACAGAGCGACTCAATCAGGTGGTTGAACAGTTACTGCGCACAGCTTGCAAGGACGACATCAGCCATTGGGACACACAGTTACCGACCCTAGAGTTCGCTTACAACAACGCATCACATGCGGCCACAGGGAAAACTCCTTTCTTCCTGTGTTACAGACGGGAACCACTCACACCACAGCAGCCAACCACACCGGTACACGTCCAAGCCGCACATGACATCGTCACCACCATGCAGCACCTATGGGAGAAGACTCAGCGACGACTCACCACGATGCAGACCTCCCAGAAGCAGTATGCTGATCGTCAGCGACGTGGTTACTCAATAGCAGTCGGAGACTAGGTGCTTCTTAACACGCGCAACTTGAACCTATCTCACCTTTCATCCAAACTCCAGCCTCTCTTCTATGGTCCTTTTCTCGTTGAGGCACAGGTGACACCAGTTACATTCCGCTAGCGGTTACCAGATACATGGAAGCTTCACATCGCTTTCCATGTCCAGCTATTGAATCCCTACAAGGACCCCAACCAACAGTTCCAAGGACGGCAACTACCGCCACCACCACCTGTTCTCATACAGGATGAACCCGAGTACGAAGTGGAGTGTGTTCTCACTTATCGGCGCCGCGGCGGCAAGACCCTCGAGTTCCTGATCTGCTGGACGAGATACGACCCCTTTGAGGATAGTTGGGTTGCAAAAGTTGATATGGGCAACACACGCCGTGCTCTCAAAGACTATCTTGTCAAGCAGGGTGTAGCTCAGGCCACCCAGCTTTGAGGAGGGGACGTGTGAGAGTACGACGACTTATGCCAGCTATGCTTGCTTGCCTTTACTTTATGATGTTATTTCTAGCATAGGATAATTATATGCATGCATGAATTGCTTGATTTCTTAGGCTAGGTGCTTTCCTATATTTTGTTATAGTTAAAGCACCAAGTTAGGTTGCGTGCACCGAATTGTGGCTTTTTGGTTGCCACCAAATTGCCTTCTACTGAATCCCGGAAGCACCTGTTCGGGACGCTTCGCAACCCACGGAACCTTCGTGTAACACCTGGTTACGGGGCCTTGTGTCGAGCCTATATATAGCCTCGTGTTGTACCCAGGTGATAATTCAATTACAATTCTCTTTTCTGAGCTCGATCCTAGATCCTCACAGTGACGACGACGTGCAGCAGTAGGTGTTGTGCTCTTCTGCACGGCTAGTGCGGTGGCGGCGTGCTGTGTGTTCTGTGCACGCCGACGATGCGTTTTCTCACTGTGTTCCATCCCTTGGGTTCTGAGCGGCCCTAGTATGGGGTGTAAAAGCGTGAGCGCGGCAGGGGAGTGCTGACAGGAGTTGGACCTGTCCTCGCTTGGACGAAGCCGACTTCGTGGTCGGGTGCGCTAGAGGTGCAGCCGACTTGAGTGCACAGGTCGACGAAATTGGTCCACCTACTCGGGACCAATATGACGACGCCAACAACGGGAAGTCGCCGGCCGACTTTGACTAGCACGGTTGACGAAGGGGTTCGTCAACCTGCCTGGTCGTCACCCTTGGGTGGCAGTCGACGAGGGAGGTCGTCGACCTGGGGACGCCGACTTGGAGGAGTCGGCAAACAGCTGGTGTGGTCGACGAAGGCGTTCATCAACCTGTGAAGTTGCCAAGTTGGTGAATTCAGCGGACGAGTGTCGACCTGGGTGGTCGTCGAGAAGGTACAGCAATTGACAGGTTCCAACCGCCCACGCCGACTTGGCGGTTTCTAATCAACTAAATTACCGGGGCAACGAGGTTCTGCGGAGTGCGCGTCCGTTGCCCAAGAGGTTCTGGCGAAGCCGACCTCGGACTGGTATACTGAGGTCGACGTGGCTCATCAGGCGCAATTAACGGCACATGGCCCACTTGGAATCTGCGCCGTGCACGCGAAGGTGCACGTCGCGCCAACTGTCCACAATAGCAACAGTTTGTCATGCACATTCGCGAATTGATGAGCCAAGTAATGATGGTTCTGACCTTCTTATCAGACTTGAAGCCCCGCAAATCATTACATGGGGGTCATGTTGCGACTAATAAACAAAAACTAGTAGTGAGTATTTTTCATCTCACGATGAGTGCTCTCTTACTCATTTATTAAATGATTAAACAGCAAGTGCATGTTTACTTGCACCCTGAAACTCGCCCAAAACGAGGCAATTAAGAAACTCGTAGCGTCGCCCATCTCCAGCTTGAAGGTTATGCTCGTTCTCACCCACAAAGAAGCAAACCATTTTAGTTCGGTGGTTAGCACCAAGTTTAAACTACATGGCAATAGAGCCAAATATTATGAGCTCGAACTCTGTTGTGTGCTTCGAAAGTAGCCTGTGATTCAAACTTTACCTCTATGAGGGAATGTGTTGGAGGAGCACTACGATCGACCTGAGGTTCTGGGAAAAAGATACTAACAAGGATAGCCTAGTGGATTATGGTCGTGCACATCCGCAATGAAAAGAAAGAAGAGAATAAGAATGCTCACTGTAAGCACAAGTTCGTGTGTTGTCAGGATTGCGAGCCTCGATAAACCGCGGGTCGTTGCAATCGCAGCGGTTGCTGCTTCCATCAACAGCGCATGTGAAGTTGCCACATGGGTTGAACAGCGACCCAAACTCCTCCTTGCTCATGCTGTTGACGTTGCAGGGGTCGGCAGCAGCGCGCACCACCGGGTAGATCCCAGGCAGCGTGTTGATCCCACACACGCCATCGCCCCCCTGGATGTCCATCCGCATGTACCCGCCATCACCCCACTGTGCGCCCCATGAGTTGCGGATGATCCAGAAGGGCGGCGCCATGTGCGGGAAGGTGGGGTCTGAGCCGGTGAGGCGATAGCCCACCAGCAGCACCACGTGGTTCAGGTTGTATGTGAAGCATTCTGGGTCCGCGTACTTGGATAGCTGGGGGGGGAACAAGGAGGGGAGTTAGAGAGGGGTCTGCTTAGGGTTTATCTCCCTTGCCGAACCATGTAGGATCTGCGTGTCCTGATTTAGCAAGGCACAAGTGCAGGGCATGCAAGTGCGTGCGTGCCAGGTCGCGTGCGGGCGGGCGAGCGTGCAGCCAGGCGGGCGTGCATGATTGTGAGTGGAGCACCCTGTTGTGATTCAGATGGAGCACCCACCTCGCTCCATGTCCACTCATGCTCACCCCATCGTAGTTGAGGAAGGAGGGGGCGGTGGCCTGCACATGCACCACCACGGGCTGTCGCTGCACGGCCAGCAGCAGCCCAAACCAGCCATGGAACGCCGTGCGCTCAAACCCGTTCACTCTGAACGGCCCCCCCGATGGCTTGCTCTGCCGTGGGGCCGGGGAGGAGGGGTAGGTGGGGAGGGGTAGAGGAGGAGAGTTATGAGTGGTGAGGCATGTGAGGAAGGGAAGAGGACAAGAAGGAAGGGGGAGCAAGCAGTATGCAAGAAAAAAATCACTATTCATAACAGCCTTTTCTATGGTGTGTGTCTGTGTGTGAGCAGTCCAATTGCTTACGATCTCTGTACCCAAGTAGAAGTTGCTTTTCTTTCTTTCTTTTCATGATCAACGCATTGTCAACTTTGTATGTTAGAATAGTCAACTCCCCCAAATCCGTGAAAGCAAGGATCACGAGGACCTTTTTTTTGTTTCTTTTTTCCCCACACACATACGAACAGGTCATTAGATCAGGTCAACGTACAAAAACAGCAAACGGAAAGAAAGAAAGAAACAAATCAGGATAAGAACTGTAACCTACCGACCCAGTGGTGCGGCGTGGACCACCACACGAGATCCCAAGCACTTTCACAAGCTGAGCAAAGACAGGAATTCCACAGAGCGGACTTGGGCTCGTGCTGCCTTTCTTATTTCCCCCGCCCCCGCTAACCACCGCCCCCCCCTTCCCTTCCTCCGTCAGCCCAATGTTGCTCTTGGCATTGAGAGTGATGAGATACTGGAAGGCCTGGGAGGGCGAGTTGCCCTGCGAGCATGAGGAGCCGAGGGCTTCACGCAGCTGGGAGACGGAGAGGAGCGGCACGGCGGAGAGGTTGGAGAGAATGCTGTAGGCCATTTCTATGCTGCCCACCACCGCGTACGCCCAGCAGTCGCCTAGGAGGGGTGAGGCGAGCAATGGAAAGAGTGGAGAGGTTGAAGAGGTGAGATGAACAGGAGAGGATGCCGTAGGCCAATTCTATGCTGCACAGCACACAACCGCGTACACCCAGCAGCCGGCTGAAAGGGGTGGGGAGTGGGGAGTGCGGAGTGGGGACAGGTGGTGAATGGGGAGAGGGGAGGGGTGGGGAGTGGGGAATGGGAGACGATCCTGTAGGTTGCTTCGATGCAGCCTGTCGCCACATACGCACAGTATGTGGGAAGAGGGAAGAGGGAAGGGATCTCGGGGGATGGGGAAGACGGAAGAGGAAAGGGAAGGGGAACGGGACGAGGGAAGGTCAAGGTAGGGATGAGCAAAGGGCGAACTCGAACATGTTCGTGTTCGCCCCCTATCGAACATCGACTTATACTGAACCGAACACTGTTCGGTTCGGCGAACTATTTGGGCGAAAACAGGTGTTCGCCGTTCGCCCTAGGGGGCGAACGAATTGTTGCAGCATGCGAACTCGAACATGTTTGACTCGAACATGTTCGAGTTCGCCAAAGGGAAAATTCGATATAGTCACAGTGGTCATATTGTGAAACGCCGTCTCTACAACTTGACACCTTGACCGCTTGGTGCTTGATCCCAATGCTTCTCAACACTAATGTTCACACAAACACCCTACACTACGAACTACCCTAACCCTAATGTCCGTTTAGATGAACGATGTAAGGTGTGCGATGGCTAGTAAAACCGCAAGGCTAGGGCGGTTGTGTGAGAGAGAGCTAAGCGCTAAAGGCGTTTTGAGTTTGAGCTCACGAAATGAGCTCAAACTCAAAACGGCCGTGACCTAAAACTGGTCGCGGCCAATTTTGACGCGAACACTTTTGTGTTCGCGGGGCACCCAATTCGAACACGAACGCGTTCGTGTTCGAATTCCCTTAGCCAAAAATCAATGGCGAACGGCGAACATGTTCGGCCGAACACCGAACATGTTCGCCTCGAACGATTTAGGCAAAAAAAAATGTCTGTTCGGTTCGCCTCGAACATGTTCGAGGCGAACCGAACAGGCGTTCGGGATTTTGCTCATCCCTAGGTCAAGGGGAGAATAGGAAAGCATAGAACCATCCACTCCAGTCACCATAGTACATTCTCACCACACAGCGTCCCTCCTTTCCTCTCACCCCCTTCCCTCCCCCTCCAACCACCCTCCACCCTAGTAAGCCATTCCCATCCCTTCCCATCCCATCCACTACACCGTCTCCCATCCCGTCCCTTCCCACCGCACCCCACCCCCATGAGCACATGCTCACCGCAGGGACCCTGGTTTTTAACGGGCCAAGGCAAACCCAGGTCGGCCCAGGAGAACGCCTGGCTCACAACCCACACCTCCTCGTCCTCCCCTCCTCCTGCTGCTGGCGCCTGCAGAGGCTGCACGCCCCCACTGGCATAGCGGAAGAAAGGGTTAGCCCCCACTGGCTTTAGGGATGCCTCGCTTAATTGGAACCCAAACTGCTGGTCTGGGGGGAGGAGGAGAGTGTAGTGTAGGGTTGGGTAGGGTAGGGGTGGGGTAGGAGAGGGAGGATGACAAAGGAAAAATTCGAGGTGGATTTTAAGGTGGCAATACTCTTAATGCAGATAAGGCTTCGAACAGAAGTACACGAGATGCAAGACGGGCTGAAATGCAAAAATGAAAATCAGGACTGCATACAATGCGATTCGATCTTGTTGGAATTGTATGATAACGCTGGTTCACGTTTACGCAAGCAACTTAATGAAGTAAACTTACGTTTACGTATGCTTGCCTGATAGGGGTTTACGGTCAGCACAAAAACCTTTCAGCCTACCCGGAAAGGTGTGCTGCATAAAAAGGTCCCAATTTTGTAACGAGTCCACACATTTCCGTGTGCGTAGAAGGTGTGCAGTGCACGAAGGTGTTGGTGATGGAAACGCGTTTGTTGGTTTCACGGAACATTTTGGCAGATTGGCATAGTTGGCGAAAAACGTTTCCGTTGACTCAATTCGTTTTCAGCTTTGCGACAGATCCGCATGTTCGTCAAAATCCCAAACAGTTGACTCAACAAACCACTCATACCCCACGCATCGCAACTATCCTATGCACGGCTATTTCGTAAAGCAGACTTCCAAGTCACCCTCCCGTCATCCGTAACCTAGAAGTCTAGTTTCCTAATAGACTTAGTCGCGCGACCCAGCAAGGCTTAGATCCTGTCCGTTGTACCCAGTACCTAACGCAAGCTTAGTCCGTTCAAATATCCGCATTGTAATGCAGTCGTCATTCGCGTAATAAGACAGAATCTTTGGTTGTCGATCTTGCATGCAGAAATTCCAGGTCCCTTTTTTTTTTTCAGCTGCACGTTCGAGTTCACGTAAAATTACGCGTACGGAAACGTAAACGTAAAGGTAAGCGTAAATGTACATTGACGTGACTCGTATGGACGTAAAGTACCAACTAAGGATTCGATAAAAGGAATGAAGGGTTGGGCTACATCTTGCTTGCACACTAAAGATAAATACCAGTGTTTCCAGTAACCAGGAATGCTACCATTCAACAGGTCATAGTAACAGAGCAGTGTAGGCATGAGCAGCAAAACGAATGGCAGTTCAATTCGGTTTTTTTTTACCAGAACCAAACCGTTTTTTTGGGCGGCCAGTTCGTTTCCGAACCGGTTCTCGTCGGTATGGCCGGTTCGTTTGCAACAATCAGCCAAGCCGCGCCGCCTCGAACCAGTTCGAATGTAAGACTAAAAATCAGAGAGTTGAAGCTCATTTCGAGCTCCAACTCTCTCATTGTCTACTTCGCCCCCTTCCACCTAGCATTGGTGTGTTGCCCGCAGTTCGTTTTTCGGTTTCAGATTGTGGTAACCATAGTGAAAGGGCCCTAGCTGGCGAACCGAACCGACCCGGTTCGGCCGAACTCGTTTGTTCGGTTTGTTGCCTTGTATGACGAAGCATGAACCAGCTCTATGCTAAACCGGTTCGTTCATGAACCAGTTCGGTTTGGTAACAAACTGGTTTGGTTTTAAAGAGTATAAAACCGAATCGGTTCAGTTTGGTACCCAACTCAGGTCTAGTGCAGTGGAGAATATAGGGAAAATGCTTTTGCGACGTCTAAAAAGGAGGGATTGTGCGAGGAATTTATGGAGAATGCCGGCTCAAAGATTGAGCAGAGGACTGGAAGCACAGCTGGGCGATTGGAGACTTGAAAAGAAGTTCAAGCCAATAAAGGAAGCCAAAAAAAAAAGGAAGTACAAACCGGAAAGGAAGCCTGATTGGCTCAAGCCAATAAAATTCTAGTCAGTACAGATCGTCCATACCCATACCTTTGAGAGTGGTTGTTTCTGGCAGGCCTGGATAGAAGGGATGATGGAAGGAGAGAGGAGAGAAAAGAAAGCACTGAGAAGAGAGGTGAGGCTGGTAAGAGGATAGCTTTTGTTGTGCCACCTGGGCAAGTAATGGAGATGTGACCACTGACCAGCAAAGGACATGTAAGCAGGGAGCAGGGAGTGGAGCAGCAAGAAAATACCTGCGTTGATGGTCCAGGCGAGGATGGAGTGCTGCTGTGGGGAGTCAGAGGCAGAAGCAGTGAAGCCCATGAGGAACGAATCCTCCTGTTTGGTGGGCTTGAGGTACTGGCACAGAGACACCTGCACCGACAGCACTGCCTTGCTCGGTTGGGGGGATGCCTTGGCCGAGAGGAACACTTGCAGTGACCCCGTGCCCTTAGCAATAGCGGCGTTGGCAGCTGTGGTGGAAGTAGAGGAGGAAGGAGAGGGGTCAAATACAACCCAGGCGTGTTTTGGAGTGCCGTCCTTGAGAGTAAGGCCTGCTTTGGCTGTTGCGATGGAGGTGGTTTTTCCCTTGACACTGAGCCCCACGTGGTTGCTGTCTGGGTCGTTGGCATCAGTGCTCTTAGAAGTGTCAAACTCCACGGCTATGCTGCGCTCATCCATGCCTGCATACCCCAAGCTGCCGCCACCACCACTGCCGTCGCTACTGCCGCTGCTACCGCCTGTTACAGTGTCACTCGCTGCAATCACAAACGCAAACCCGTCCCCTGTTTCTGCAGCAGCGTTGGCTGTGGTAGGCTTGAGAATGGAGAAGGAGAAATAGACGGTGAAGGCGAAGGGGCGACCGCAGGCACCGGCTTTGAGGGAAAAGGAGAAGAGCGAGACGGGGAGCTTGAAAAACGCTGCGCCCCACGTGTTGGGCTGAGAGGCTGTGAGCGTGATGCGCCCGTTGCTTGCCACTGCTGCCTGCCCTTTGACTGCTGTCTGTGCTGCTGTTGGCACAATGTCCACTGGGTCACCTGGCACGCGTGGCGGAGAGCGTGGGTAAGGGCAGATGAGGTGGGGAAGGTCAGGTGAGCAACGGGGCAGAAAGGACAGAGGAATGCGACGGGCAAGGGCAGATGAGGTGGGGAAGGCAAACATAGGTGCTTCGCAGGCCTGGAGGACGGGAGGGTGAGGGCAGGGAGCGAGTGGACAAAAAGCAGCGTGCAGTGGGTGAAGTGTCAGGAGGGCACGTGCAGCACAGGTGAACTGGGCAGTGGTAAGTCAGGGCGGGGAGTTAAGAGCTGCGATGGGAAGAGAAGGAGGCTTGCTTGCTAGATACTATGCCCACACTCCATTAGTCGCACTCGCATGGTCCCCCTCATCACCCCTCACTTGCCTCATCTCATCACTCTCCTCTCATCACTCCCTCCCCTCCTCCCTATCATTCCTCTCGCCCTCCCCCTACTGCACTCACTTCCTTCAGGAACGCAGCTTCCAGGAAGCTCCCCGTTGACAAATCCGGAATCGCAGTTACACGTGGGTACTTTGTTTGGGCCGGCCGCATAGCACGAGCCATGCCCGCTGCATGGGGGATCGGCAGCACTCACGCCACAGAAGGCATTACAGAGTTCCTCCGGCCGCTGCACCGCTGCATCCGCAGCAGAGGGCGTGGCAGGCGTGGGGCAGGAGAAGCCTTGGGTGGGGGTTTCAAGGCAGTTGAAGCGGAAGGAGATGGCGCCTTGGGAGCAGTTAGGCGGGGAGGAGAAGCCTGAGGAGAAGTAGTTGAGATCGAGATTGTAGACGGTGAGTGATGCTGGGATGGGCTGCAGTATGGGGCCTGTCAGCTGGTTGTTGCGCAGGTTTCTGTGAGCGGGGTGGGAATTGTGTGGAAGGGGTTAGTGAGGAAGGAAGGGAGGAGGGAGGACAAAGGAAATTCAAAAAAATGCCTCAGGATTGTCAGAATGTCTTTCCTCTTATATCTTGCATAGTATACTAAACTACTTTGAGCAATTAAGCATCCATACATAAATTGGGTGTACAACTAGGGAGATTCCTAATTGGAATCAGAAACCCTATATTGGTCCAATTTTTTTACCCCCAGGGCCGGGTTGGGAGATGATTGGAGGTCCTAAAATATCTGGTTTTGCTCATGCCGATGCACATGTTTACAGACAGCCAGCCCTCCTACCTAAGATGGGTTCTTATGTCCCTGGACCCTATGTACGGTAAACACACATAACTTGGATCCTGAACCAGATCGGTGAAAAAAAAAAAAAAAAAAAAAAACAGCGCCTGCGTATTTTTCTCTGGAGAGGAATGGTGCTGCACTGCAGAACCATTCAGGGCGCATACAGGCTACTGATAGTTTAGGTCACAACTAAGAATTCTCAATTTCAGGGTCTAGGTCCTCGGACTACATCATAAATCTAAAAAGCTACATTGATCGTCGATCTATGTAGCTCAAACATCGAGCGTAGCCTCCTGAGTCTCGCGTACATCACAGGACTGGAATACGCATGGATAGGTAAGGAGGTCGAATCGAACTAAACATATTAATGGGGGGGGGGGGGGGGCATTGACTCACACGCTATCGCATGAAATTAGGGGCAAACCACGAGTTGGATTCGTACACCTCACCAAAGTAACGTGCGTTAGTTTATTATGCCTGAGTGTCTTTGTGTGTAGAGATTATCATGTACAGAGATACTGCCACATTCTAATCCCCTGGAAAATTTCGCTATCGGTACAAGCCGGGCAGCTAAAGAAAACAAAATTACCCGCAAACGTAAACCCATTCCAGAACCTCGTGCATATACGTACGGAAACATAAATGAAACATGTACGTGAACATGAGCGTAATATCCAACTAAGGGGAGGACACACAGAAAATATGGAATGGTGGGAGGACGTCCAGGAGAGGTGGGATAATGGAAGGAAACGGAGGAGAGTGGATGGGATGACGTGGGGAAGGACGCACAGGAGAGTGAGGCGGACAAGGCCAGTGAACTGAGTGGGGAGGGTTCCATGCAGACGGTTGTTGCTCAGGTCACTGCAGGGAGAGAGAGAGAGAGAGAGAGAGAGAGAGAGAGAGAGAGAGAGAGAGAGAGAGAGAGAGAGAGAGAGAGAGAGAGGAGAGGAGAGAAAGAGGGTGTGAGAGGTGATTAGAGCCAGAAGGAGAAATACATTGAGTGAAAAGGGGGAAAGAGTTTCCCTTTGGATGGTACTTCTTCTTTAGGAAAACAACCGCGCAACATTGTTGTTTGTGAGTTGTTGCTGGAGCGAGGGAACAAAGGAACGTTGGAGCAAGGAACAGTGGCAACACAATACTGGTGGTAGCAATCTATTCCGGAAGAAAGAAGCAGTTACCAAAACAGGTTTTCCCCAGTCCAGCCCTGTGTAGTGCGTGCATGACACGAATTGCTTGCCACGAAGTTTTGATTCAAGGTGCAATTCAGTTGCTGAGGAAATGTTCATATAATTATCATTCTAGGTACCTTGTCTCAAATCGATTCAAGTCAACTTTGAGTGGAGAGCGAGCTTCTATCAGCATATAAGGGACGCACCCTTTCGTATAGGTATTTGAGGCGCCTCAGGAGTAAACCATTCTAATCAGCACGATCCATTCAACAAATAATAGAAAACATACATGCTCGCAGGATGGCCTGGCCAGCGACCACTCACTCGCATGGCAGAAGCAGAGGAAACAGAGAGCACTCACTCACATGCCATGAAGCAGAGTGAGCAAAGTGAGCGGAGAGCACTCACAGGGTTTCCAGCTTCAACAGACCTCCGAGAAGAGTGGGCAGGGTGCCGCTGATCTGGTTGCAACAGAGCTTGCTGCAGGGAGCGCGCAGAGGGCATAGAGAGGGCGTAGAGAGGGGCGTAGAGAGGGGGTGTAGATAGAGGGGACGCAGAGGGAGGGGGCAGCGAGATGGGGCACACACGTCGGTAAGTTGGTGGGTAATGGAGGGCGTGAGGGTGGAAAGGGGAGTTGTGGGACCGAGGGTGAAGGACGACTGGTGGAACGGGTGTTGGGGAGCTGATAAAAGGCAAGCGAACATAAGGTAAATAATGCATTTACGATAGTGCCAATGACTAATATAAATAACGCACTTAGACATAGTGCCAACGATAAGGATAAGTTAGGGATGAGCAAAGGGCGAACACGAACATGTTCGTCTTCGCCCCTTGTCGAACACCCTCTTTTGCCGAACCAGGTCCTACTAAACTTACGCAAGCAACTTAATGAAGTAAACTTACGTTTACGTATGCTTGCCTGATAGGGGTTTACGGTCAGCACAAAAACCTTTCAGCCTACCCGGAAAGGTGTGCTGCATAAAAAGGTCCCAATTTTGTAACGAGTCCACACATTTCCGTGTGCGTAGAAGGTGTGCACGAAGGTGTTGGTGATGGAAACGCGTTTGTTGGTTTCACGGAACATTTTGGCAGATTGGCATAGTTGGCGAAAAACGTTTCCGTTGACTCAATTCGTTTTCAGCTTTGCGACAGATCCGCATGTTCGTCAAAATCCCAAACAGTTGACTCAACAAACATAAGTTGACTCAACAAACATAGCCGTAAACCCCTATCAGGCAAGCATACGTAAACGTAAGTTTACTTCATTAAGTTGCTTGTACACCCTCTTTTGCCGAACCGAACACTGTTCGGTTCGGCGAACAGTTTAGGAAAAAACAGGTGTTCGCTGTTCGCCTGTGGAGGCATGTTCGGGCGAACCTCGAACACGTTCGTGTTCGCCACGGGGGGTTCTGCAGCAGCGCCACGAACACGAACGTGTTCGGGCGAACATCGAACACGTTCGGGCGAACGATTTAAGCTGAAAAACAAAACCTGTTCAGTTCGCCTCGAACAGGTTCGAGGCGAACCGGACAGGTGTTCGCCACCTTGCTCATCCCTAGGGTAAGTAACTCACTCACTTCTAGTACCAACGATAAGAGAATGTAACGCACTTACACTTAGTGCCAACTATACAGGTAAATATCGCACTTATCCTAACTACCAATGCTAAGGGTAAGTAATGAACTTAGTATTAGAACCAACAAAAAATTGTAAGTGACGCACTGGGAGAGAAGGGATGCAGGCAAGCAGGGGACACGGTGATGGGAGGGGAAGAGGGAGGAAGGGGAGATGCGGAGAAACAAGGGAAGCAGGGAAGAAGGGGAGTAGGCATATGTGGCATTCACAGAACATCAGGTGGTGGAATACTGACAGAATTTTAAGCTCGGTGAGAGTGGAGTATTGCGAAGGTATTGAGCCGGTCAACTCATTGCCATTTAGATTGCTGCCGTCAGGGAGGTGCCGGTGGGAGAGAAGGGGGGGGGAGGTGGAGGGGAGAGGGGAAGGTAGGGGAGAAGGGAGGGGGGAAGGAGACGGGAAGGGAGAGGGGAAAAGAGGGGGGATGGAGGGGGGAAGGAAAGTGGGAAGAGTGGGGGGAAAGGAAAGAGGGAAGGGAGGGGGGAAGGGATGGGGGAAGGGAGGGGGGAAGGGAAGAGGGAAGGGAGGGGGAAAGGGAAGAGGGAAGGGAGGGGGAAAGGGAAGAGGGAAGGGAGGGGAAAGGGAAGAGGGAAGGGAGGGGGGAAGAGAGGGGGAAAGGGAGTGGGGAAGGGAGGGGAGGAAAAAATGGGAGGACGAGGGGTTACAAAAAGAGGACAAAAGAAGGATGAATATGACACGTGAGAAGAACTGTTATATAGAATGCACAGCAACGGGCTTTGCATGTTCACAGCAACGGGCATTGCATGTTCATGTGCAAACCCTCCGCCATGCCCACAGAAGCAGGGGTGAGTGAGGCGGGAACGGGTAGTGCGGAAGAGGGAGAGAAGTAGGTGGGGGAGAGAACAGGGCAGAGCAGTGCAGTGCTGACAGGGCCTTGGGGTGTGGAAAAGACATTTCAATGGCAGGGCGTTGAGCCATTTGAGAGAACCATCAAGAGCCACCCACTCACAGGGCCTTGAGGGTGGTGATCTCGCTGATGCTCGTTGGCAGCGGGCCAGACAGGTCGTTGTTGCTCAGGTCACTGTGGGGTGGGCGTGCACAGAGGTTGAGTTGGGTTTAATTGGTTAGGGTTGGATTGGATTGGTTGGGTAGGGTTGGGAAGAGCGCCAGAGAGCGTTAGGTAAGTAGAGCGACGCGGGTGAAAGTAAGGCAGTGGGTAGGAGAGGTGGGTGCGTAGCCTACTCAGGGATAGACATTCAGTGTGGCATGCGATGGTGAAGAGATGAGAAGTGACCAACTTCTTGGACTTGCCATGGAATGGCATGGCATGGCATATCATGTCATATCATGCCACGTCATGTCATGTCATGTCATGTCATGTCATGTCATGTCATGTCATGTCATGTCATGTCATGTCATGTCATGTCACGTCACATCACGTCACGTCATGTCATGTCATGTCATGTCATGTCATGTCATGTCATGTCATGTCATGTCATGTCATGGCATGGCATGTCATGCACGACTAAGGCAAGAGCACGTGCGAGAGGCGCATGGGAGCAAGCCACGCAGGATTACATGCTGGTGATGGCAGTCAAGCCAGTGATGCCTGCAGGCACGGTTCCCACTAGCTTGTTGTACCCCAGGTCGCTGCAAATGGTCATGCAGTGGGGGTGTGGGAGGCGGTTTGAGGGAGAAGCGGCAAGGAGGCACAGCAAGGGAGAGGGCGCGAGAAGAGAGGGGCCGATACGAAAACTGCAAGAGCTGACGAAAGGGGGTGAGATAGAGAGGCTGAAAGACATTGAGATATGTTAATAGAGTGATAGTGAGTGGGAGTAGGCATGAGCAAAAGGCGAACATGTTTGTGTTCGGCCGGGCTCGAACACTCATGTTTGGCGAACCGAACATGTTCGTGTTCGGCATGGAACAGCATAAATGTACGATGTACACAACGCAGAAGAAAATTGCAACATGCAAACGGGATCTGCAGTTTGTTTGCTTATTTCTTCGGTCTTGCGTGTGGTGGTTTGGTTATTCACGCTAGGTTGGATGTAGCAGCTTTCATTAACCACAGATTCTGTGGTTAATCATGCAAAAATAGGATTCAGACGATGGGGTTCACGCAACGCGGTTCACATGAAGAAAGAGGGATGGGATTCATGTGAAGTGAAGCCATGAAACTGAAGAGATGGGAGGGATTCATACAGCTTTTGCAGGCTGGTAATTCGTGTGAGCACTCCTACTGGAACAGAACCTGTGAGGAGATTGTTGGACAGGGAACTAGAGAGAGCAGCAGAGAGACATTGAGACAGAGTGGAAGAGACAGAGGGATGGAGACACAGAGAGACGACCGCATAGGAAATGAAATCCATTTAGTGGGAGATATGCTGGTAAGGAATGAAATTAGTATGCAGCAGGCAGCATGCTGTAGGGCACATGTGGAGCAGGCCACGTGCGGAACACATGAGAGGATGGCTGGTTAGAAGGCGAGCTTCCTGAGCCACCTCAAATATAAGGGTGTTTGAGCAAACGAGGGGAGTGCTGAAGCGGGAGAGCAAAGGCGGGGAGGGCAGAGGTGGGGAGAGCAGAGGTGGGAAGAGCAGAGGCGGGGAAAGCAGAGCCAGGGAAAGCAGAGGCGGGGAAAGCAGAGGCAGGGAAAGCAGAGGCGGGACAAGCATACATACAGCGTCTTAATGGCAGAGAGGGTGCTGATGGAGGAAGTAATCGAGTCAGAGAGACGGTTGAAGCTCAAATCCCTGCGAGAATGAGAGGGAGGGGATGATGGAGAGGAGTACGAAGAGGTGGAGTCATGGGGTGGGGGGACGTGTAGGTGGGAGAGAGAGAGAGGAGTAAAGGGGGTTGGGAGGGAGGTTGCTAGCTTGAACATGTGGAGCCTGAAAAAAGTGGTAGTGGAGAGTGACGCCGGCATTTCCAGGATGATTTGAGCACATGGGTATGTGAACACACATGCACGCACGCACTTGCACGCACGCACATATACATGGGCATTTGACCCGGACGGGTCGGGTAACCCGACCCGACCCGCCCTTTAGGGCGGGTCGGGTCAGGAATGCTGAGAAGGCCGACCCGCCCGGGTCGGGTCGGGAAAACCCGGACGGGTCGGGTCGACCCGTGACCCGTCACTGTGATTTAGTGACGGGTTTTTGCGACCCGCCGGGTCGGGTTGACCCGTCCCGTCCGGGTCGCGTACCCAGTCAAATGACAGGGTAACCCGACCCGTTTTCGGATTAGGGTAGGGGTTGAACATCGGTTGGTTTTTTAGGTTTTTTTTCCCTCGACATTCTGATCTAGTCGCTAGACTAGATCAAGGCTAGTACTTCTGCGCTGCAGCTAGGGAGCCTCATACAGTCTTCACTCTTCAATGTTAGCACTATTTAAACTGCATATTATCTTCAGGTTAGGGTTTGGCGCTCCCGCCATTTCGCAGCGTCGCACGACCAGGGGCGCAGCAGCGCTCGTGCGGCCACGCATTGGCGGGATCGCGTCCCCGCAATAGCGCGATCTTGGCCCCGCGTTTGCTCAGCGCGATCACGGCCCCGCATTGGCGCGATCGCCGCCCCGCATATGCGCGATCGCGGCACCGCATTAGGACAGGGCGATCGCGGCCAGGTTCAGCATCGCGATCAGGCAGCGCGATAGGGCAGCGCGATCGCGGCCACCTTCAGCAGCGCGAAGGCGCCACCATCAGCAGCACGAAGGCGCCACCTTCAGCAGCGCGAATATAGTTGTAACATGTAGTTTACAATGTAGCAATTCAGACCCAACCCCCATACCCTGCTGCTATGTAGCATATTTTGATCCGACCCGACCCGACCCGTGGTGTAACCGACCCGGTAACGGGTCACAAATACCCGTTCCCACGGGGCGGGTCGGGTCACCAAAACAGAGTCAAACCCGACCCGCTAACCCGACCCGACCCGACCCGTTAAGCTAACGGGTCGCCCCCAACGGGACGGGTCGGGCCGGGTCGGGTCAAATGCCCATGCTTACACGCACATGCACTCACATGTACGCACATGCACGCATGCACATGCACGCACATGCACGCACGCACATGCACGCACATGCACGCACATGCACGCACGCACATGCACGCACACACATGCACGCATGCACATGCACGCACATGCACGCACATGCACGCACACACATGCACGCACGCACATGCACGCACGCACATGCACGCACGCACATGCACGCACGCACATGCATGCACATGCACGCACGCACATGCACGCACGCACATGCACGCACGCACATGCATGCACATGCACGCACGCACATGCACGCACGCACATGCACGCACGCACATGCACGCACGCACATGCACGCACGCACATGCACGCACGCACATGCACGCACGCACATGCACGCACGCACATGCACGCACGCACATGCACGCACGCACACGCACGCACATGCACGCACATGCACGCACGCACATGCACGCATGAACACATGAGACCAACCCAAGCCCAACCGATCTCCTTCAACCCCAAAAAGGTTGTTGTGGAAGCAAGAATGTCCCAGTGGGTACCTTTGGTCTTAGTGGTCGCGGGTTCAACTCTCATCGGCAGCACCTTCTCTTCTCATTATGCCGAACATGACACTCCCACACTCCACCACACTCACCCACAGTGAAGTATGGTCACAGTTGGCATTGCCATCTGTCCACCCATCCCATACTCACCTTGTTGGCTCCTATGGTGTGCCACATACTGCCATGTAGGCTGTTGTTCCAGCCTGGCCCACATGTGCAACATGTGGCCTCAATTGCTAGCTTGGCAAGGTTGGCTAGCCCTGCCCTCAGCTTTGAGGTGCTGCAGCTAGCCTCAAGAGTTCAGCCACATAAATGTGGCTTCCCACTTCTCTAGAACTCATCCTTGGAAAGGACATTGCTCTAGCCTTTCAGGCTTGTACCATCTTCCTACTAAGGATATATTGTTCTTCTCTCATTGTGCCTCAAGTTCACCGATCCTCATTCTACATGGCATCAGAGCAAGGCTTCTAGCTTAGTGAACGTTGCACACTTCATGGCTCAAGTTGAAACGCCTCTCGGTCGGCACACCCTTCCCATCTTGGAACCAGATGGTTCCAACTTCATTCCATGGAAGAAAAAGATCTGCTACATCTTCAATGTCCTCGGACTGATCTCCCTCCTTGGAGATCCCAAGGTTGCTTCGCGTCCTTCAATCTCCTCTTCCACAACCAGCGGTGGAGAGACTACCGAAGGCAACAGCGGTGCAGCCCCTAAGACAGCCCATTCGATTGCTTCGCTGCCGGATGAAGAAAAAGAGGAGCATGCATACTATCTTCTCATGTCAGCCGTCCATCCTCAACTATCGCTCACTCTTGCTCAAGCCAACACGACAAAGGATATGTGGGGATGCATCATGGCGCGGTTCGACTGCATGGGCAACCATGCACAAGTGGCTCTCCTCCGGGATCTCATCACTACACGGATGGACCCAACAACAAGTCTTCGCTCCTACTTTGATCGAGTTGGAAACCTTACACACCAACTCAAATCTGCCGGCTTTGAGCTACCATCATGGGTGGTGGTAATCTCCATCATCCTCAACCTTCCGGACTCGTTCAAGACCCTTACTGAAACCATTTGCACCGTGAAAGACATAAAGTCTATGACGGTTGAATACCTACAGTCACGCCTACTCGATGCCGATTGGGAGCGGTCACAATCTGGTACAAGCTGTAACATGGAGGGTGCATACAACCTCAATTCCCAGCCCTCCCACCCTCTTCGCTCCGGTTCACGCCAGTCGCCCACCTGCCGTTACTGCAAGAAAACGGGTCACACCATCGATGAATGCTTCAAATTGAAGAAGAAGAAAGAGCTTGAAGAAAGCTCTAAACGGGAGAAATCCGTCTTCCAACCCTCGGTGCATGTCTCCACCAGCTCCTCTGCTGAAGCTACTCCGACCCCCACACCACCTCCTGCCCCATCAACCCCTCAGTCCGTACCTGATTCCCGGTACGTGGACATTGCTGTCAGCACCAGCCACCACCCCATCTTCTCCACATGGACTCCTCTCGTCGCTGCTGTCTTCATTCTCACCATCCTCCTTCTCCTCCTCCTCTTCCCTTATGGGGCTCCCTACGCATCGGCATTCACGGCCTCCTCATTCAATATGGAGCGGACTTCGTCGTGGCTGGTGGACAGCGGCGCATCCTCCCATATCTGCTCGGATCGTTTGCTGTTTTCGTCTCTCAAGAAGCCCAACGAAGAGATCCTTGTTCGTTTTGGTGGAGGAGAGACTTACAAGGTCTTGGGAGTCGGCACGGTGGTGGCTACTCTTCGGTCACCAACATCGGAAACCACCATTCAGCTTGACAACGTTCTATTTCTCCCTTCATCAGTTCACAACCTGCTCTCTGTTCGTGCGCTTGGTGCTGCCGGCGTTGCCGTCTCGTTCCCCGCTGCTGGGCGCGTTGTTCTCACATCTGATGACGCTCCTATTGGCGAGGGCTACACCCGCAACAATCTGTTTTATCTTCAACTGCATCATGGGAGCAGTGCTGCTCCTTCTATCAAGCCAACTGCATGTCCAGCCTCCACCACCACCTCCTCGTACCTCTGGCATCGTCGTTTCGGGCATCTCAACATGCAGGCCTTGTCAACACTTCATCGGCAGCAGCTGGTCACCGGTCTTCACCTCTCCTCCACCTCGATTCCCCCCTGCATCTCGTGCTATCGTGGGAAACAAACACGTCAGCCATTTGGCGTGTCCCATTCTCGCACCACAGCCCCACTCCAACTCATTCACTCAGATATTGCTGGACCGCTTTCATATGGAACTACCATTGGCGGCGCTCGCTACCTTCTCACCTTCATCGACGACTACTCCTGCCACATTACAGTGTATCTCCTACGCCACCGGTCGGAGGCACTTTCATGCTTCAAGGCTTACGTCACTCGGGTGCACAACATGCATTCCCCACACACCATCAAAGCCTTTCGCTCTGACGGTGCCTTGGAGTTCACTTCCAAAGCCTTCACTTCATTCCTTACAGCTCATGGCATCGCCCGCCACCTCTCCACGCCATACACACCTGAGCAAAATGGAGTAGCTGAGCGGGCCAACCGGACTTTACTTGAGATGGTCCGTTCCATGCTCCATGATGCACACATGGACAAAGGCTGGTGGGGTGAAGCCGCTCTTACTGCTGCCTATCTTCGTAATCATGCCATTAGTCGGGGTGGTTCAACTTCTAAGACTCCCATGGAACTATGGACCGGTGCACGTCCGGATGTATCACACCTCCGCATCTTCGGTTCACCCGTCTCGGTCCTCATTCCTTCCCAACGGCGTTCTAAGCTCGACGACCGAAGCACGGCCGGCATCATGGTTGGATATGGTCATCTCGACGGCACCAAAGCTTACCGCATCTATATCCCATCTCAGCACCGTGTCATCCTTTCTCGTGATGTCATCTTCATGGAGCCCTCTGCACCGCCTTCCGACGACTCTCGCGACCCTCCATCGTCATCTCCACCCACATCCTCCTCACTACCTCCTCCTACACACCCTTCTTCCTTGGACCCAATCTCCCCTCCCTCTCCTTCCCCCACCATACCTTCCTCCACCAACCCCCACCCACAATCCCCACCCCTGCCGCACCAGCCACATCTTCTCCTCCTCCATTGTTTTCCAACCTTCCTCTGCCCTCGACGCCGCAAGACTTTCACCTTCCATCCTTCTCTCCTCCCTCTTCGCCTCCCCCTCCCCATTGCACGACTCGCTCCTCCCCGCCATCCCCTTCAGCTCTTCCCGATCCTTCCCTTTTCTCCTTCCTCAAGGTCTTACCATCCCCTTCCGAACCCATTGACTTCACTCTTCCTCCTCT